TTTTTGCAAAACTGCATGCTTGGTGACAGTATTGGCACAAAAATGGATTGAAAAAGCAAAATAACCAAATTTAGGCCAAATTCTGAGATAATAACAGAATGCCTCTTGCTTAAGTAACCATGCAAAATATTGAGGTTATGTGACAACATTGTGGATGGATATAACGAGGACATGCATTATTTGTTTCCTGTCTTGTTTTCTCACAATCTTTACTTATTTTTCTCTGTATATCGTTCACTATTTCTCTGGTCAGCTGTAAAGCATTTGATCAGGATCTTTCAAATATCCTTCTAAGCATGCAGACGTCCCAGTCCCTCATGTTGGATGGCAATGAAGTTGAGCTGTTTAAAGGTAAAAGGTAATACGCTCATCCATACACACTTCCGTTCAAAAGATTGAAATAGCCTACTCAAAACATTTTTCATGTTTTTGAAAGAAGTCTCTTATGTTCACCAAGGCTACATTTACTTGAATAAAAACACAGTAAAACAATTTAAAAGAACTTCTTTCTATTTGAATGTATCTTAAAATGTAATCTATTCTCATGATGCAAAGCTGAATTTCCAGCATCATTACTCCAGTCTTCAGTGTCATGCGACCCTTCAGAAATCATTCTAATATGATGATTTGCTGCTCATGAAACATTTCTTATTATCATTGCTAACAACAGATGTGAGGCTGTGGAAATTTCTTTCAAAAACTGGTAGCATATACAATATACACTCACCTAAAGGATTATTAGGAACACCTGTTCAATTTCTCATTAATGCAATTATCTAATCAACCAATCACATGGCAGTTGCTTCAATGCATTTAGGGGTGTGGTCCTGGTCAAGACAATCTCCTGAACTCCAAACTGAATGTCAGAATGGGAAAGAAAGGTGATTTAAGCAATTTTGAGTGTGGCATGGTTGTTGGTGCCAGACGGGCCGATCTGAGTATTTCACAATCTGCTCAGTTACTGGGATTTTCACGCACAACCATTTCTAGGCTTTACAAAGAATGGTGTGAAAAGGGAAAAACATCCAGTATGCGGCAGTCCTGTGGGCGAAAATGCCTTGTTGATGCTAGAGGTCAGAGGAGAATGGGCCGACTGATTCAAGCTGATAGAAGAGCAACTTTGAGTGAAATAACCACTCGTTACAACCGAGGTATGCAGCAAAGCATTTGTGAAGCCACAACACGCACAACCTTGAGGCGGATGGGCTACAACAGCAGAAGACCCCACCGGGTACCACTCATCTCCACTACAAATAGGAAAAAGAGGCTACAATTTGCAAGAGCTCACCAAAATTGGACAGTTGAAGACTGGAAAAATGTTGCCTGGTCTGATGAGTCTCGATTTCTGTTGAGACATTCAGATGGTAGAGTCAGAATTTGGCATAAACAGAATGAGAACAGGGATCCATTGTGCCTTGTTACCACTGTGCAGGCTGGTGGTGGTGGTTTAATGGTGTGGGGGATATTTTCTTGGCACACTTTAGGCCCCTTAGTGCCAATTGGGCATCGTTTAAATGCCACGGCCTACCTGAGCATTGTTTCTGACCATGTCCATCCCTTTATGGCCACCATGTACCCATCATCTGATGTCTACTTCCAGCAGGATAATGCACCATGTCACAAAGCTCGAATCATTTCAAATTGGTTTCTTGAACATGACAATGAGTTCACTGTACTAAAATGGCCCCCACAGTCACCAGATCTAAACCCAATAGAGCATCTTTGGGATGTGGTGGAACGGGAGCTTCGTGCCCTGGATGTGCATCCCACAAATCTCCATCAACTGCAAGATGCTATCCTATCAATATGGGCCAACATTTCTAAAGAATGCTTTCAGCACCCTGTTGAATCAATGCCACGTAGAATTAAGGCAGTTCTGAAGGCGAAAGGGGGTCAAACACAGTATTAGTATGGTGTTCCTAATAATCCTTTAGGTGAGTGTATACTGTATAATGACATCCAAGAGAAAACAGGTCAAGATCATGACAAAGCAAGACAGAAAAAATAATAATGCATGGCCTTTTAGGGCTTCTGTACTGTCTTAAATAGGCAATATACAGTATATGAGCAGCACATGTGGTAAATATTATGCTTATTATAATGAGGTTTTCTTTCTCTCCCTTCAACCAGTAAATTAGAAAGCACTTCTTATACATTTATGTTGTGAACAGCATGGCGAGCAGTTAATGATTCAAACTGTGCTGCCTCATTAACATTTGGAGTAATAGACCCGAGTCTAACCAGTGAGACTGTCTGTATCTCACACACACTCACACTCACACACACAGGCATACCAGAACATCCAGACTCTTTCATGTGGGCATGCGGGTCTAAGAACACACACGCACATTTGTTCTAATTAATCAAATAAGCATTTAATTAATTGTATAGATTTGATTAAATCAATCAGATTTGTGCCATATATGCTGTGTTTTATGTCACATTTTAACATAATGGTGGAATAGATTCATTCAAAAGCAGTCTGCTAAGATCACCCGAAATATCAGAAGGACCTCAATGTCACAAAATGAGTGCATACGTCTCAAGCACACCAATACTGAACAGCAAATCACCATGAGCTCCATGAAGGAATAGCTCACCCAATGGCTAACTGGCCTTCATGCTGGTCCAAACACGTATGACTTACTTTCTTCTACACAAGAGGAGATTTCTTAGGTTCTTCGTCTTTTCCACACAGTGAAAATATATTGTTGCCCTCTATGAAGAACTTTTAAAATCCAAGGAAATGTTCCAATGCACAAACATTTCTTTGCAGTGCGGTTCAATAGTTCAAAAGTTCATTGAACTACTTTTAATTAAAAGGTTCTTTCAGGAATCTAAAGTGGTTCTTTATGGCATCGCTGCACAACCACCTTTTTGGCACCTTCATCATTTTTAAGGGCTGTCAAGCTCCAAAAAGCAAAATATAAATACAAATAAAATCTGTATGACTATTTTCATATATGTCCAACAATAGCTTTGTGTGACAAACAAGCCAAAATGTAAGTGTTATTTGTCAAACTCTTTTGCCATATACAGGGATGCACTGAAAGTTTGCGGCTGAAAACAGCTATTTTTGGTGTCTGGCTGAAATGGTTTTGGAGGGACGAAATCAATCACCGAAACAGATGTTTAATTAACGCTTCTCCGATGGCACGTTTTGACAGCGTTGAACGCCTATTTCACACAACGAAAGCTACACAGTTAAACATGTCAGCTGTGTGGACACTAGCTCTGGATTGACGATATTCATTTCTTGATTTTAATAGGTAATGATATGGTTTCTTAAATCTAAAATCTTATAGTCAGTTCTGTTTTCTTTGATGCGTGAATACATATTTGTTGCGTACCTGCCATCCAATAATCGCAAAAAGCTTTGTGCTTTGTTACTTTTAATATGAAGCAAAAATTCGGTCGATTTTATAACGAAATTTAAACAATTAATGTTGTTTTGGTGCTCTTTAATACAGCGTGACAGATCACAGATCAAACACACGTGAACTGATCATCTCTTCTGCTTTACTACTGGTTATAGCAGCAAATAAACATGGGTGAACGTCAGAAGAAATGTTGAAAGATACAGTACAACTTACTGAAATGAATCCTCTCTCATGTAATCACCCAACCAGTGTTTTAACCGTGCAAGATGTCAATAAAACATACATACAGTGACTCTACAACGCCACTTAAAAAAGCTATTCAGAAAGCTATTCAATGTTCATAAGCCATTAGTTAGCTAGAAAACTAACTATAGAGAAGAGCATTTTGCTAAATATATGCACTGTATTACATATTCATTCGATTTTTATTTAACCTGTTAGTGATGTCTTGATTATTTAATGTATGTTTGATTAAAACAAGTTATTACAGTGTATTGTCGTTTAAAAGTTTATATTTCACCAATAAACTGGAGTAGAAACAATTCTGTTGGTAAAAAGTTGATATAAAAACTGTGGCTACTGCCTCAGGTTTAGCTATCTGAGTGTTGATTATTTAATAAGTTTGAATAATTAATTGATTATTACTTTAATATTTATTTTTTGTTTCGGTTTTCGGGCCAAGTGCATCCTGAATTTTTGGTTTCGGCTCATAATTTTCATTTTCGGTGCATCCCTAGCCATATGCACATTCACATCTATAAAAAAAATATAAAAAAAAAATTCAGTTTCTCACACAAAGCTATCATATGGCTTCAAAGTCATCTGGGCTTCTTTAATGATGATTTTTTTGGTTGTCATTTTTGGACGTTGACATCAAACATTCTACTAAACATTTCCTTTTTTGTTCCATGGGACCATTTTTGAGTGATCTATTCCTTTAACATTGACTTTTTGTGACAACTAATAGTTGGTGGATAATGAAGACCTCGACCAATCACGGTTTAAATCCAATTTACACATACAAAAACAGCCCTATGTGGATTGGTGGAGGTTTTCACCGTCCTCTGGCTCTTCTATGACAACATCGGTCTGTTTAACCCTCTTATTGTTCGAAATGACTCCAGAAGCATCATGCCGTGTGCTTCATTTGGAGAAACTCCTTGTCCTTGTTTATAGCAGAGAATGTATCAGCTATAAGACAAAAAGTACTGAAACAATGGAAATTAAAACTCAAATCGAACTGAACTAAACTAAAAACAAGCCATTCAACTTCAAAAACAATGAGAGAAAACCATAATTTGAGCTTTAACGACTTAATTTGTAACGACGACAATTCTTTTAGTCTCTTTAAAAAATAAAAGACATGCATATGTGTTTTTCGCTGATCAGCACACGCTCCCTTCAAACGTTTCCTCTCGGCGAGAAAACACAGAATAGATACCATTCATGAAAGAACTGAAAGAAATACTATGTCAGAAATATGTCTTCTTGGCAGACATCCACAAGGTCAGTTCAGATCTATTGGGTTCTTCGAAAGAAGGATTTTTTCCCCCCCGGAAGTGTCTCTATATAAAAATAGACTAAACGGCCCTGGTATTGGTCTGTCCTATTTAGTAGCATTGTTTCTTCTTCAGTGTGTCCGGCGATAAATAGGACAGGCCGGAAATATGGCTATTCAAGACAACAGATAAATCTATTGGATTGTTTTTTAATGTAATTATTTTTACTTATCATAATATATCCACATGCTTAATCTTGTGTACGGCCCTTTCGATAAACAACAAAAAAGTTATCTTCTGTGCGCTCGTCCAGTTTTGTCTGCCGTAACAGAATTTCGTTTCTTGGAATTGCTTGGAACAATAGTTGAAGTAATCCTTTAGAGGGCTCTTTATTTCATTTGTTCAGCGAGTTGTAGAAAAAAAAGGGTACAAACAACCAAGCCTGTTCCTGTTAGCCTCCCTTGGCCTCCATGGTTTCTTTGGATAAGTAAACCACCCAGTACACCATATTGAATGCCCCAAAGGACACTGGGAATAAAATACGTGCATATTCGTCGATCTTGCTGGCTCCTCCGGTCGCAGGAGCGGCAGGTTGAGGTGCGGCCTTGGCTTCCTTCTTTTTAATATTTTCTAATTTCGGGCCGAGGAGATGGTGAAGAGGGGCGGAGCCAGCGGTCGCTCCGGGCGACGGTTTCTCGGGAACTGTTGGCGTAGAGGGCGGGGCTGGCGGTGTGGTCTTGGAGGAAGGGGCTGCATTTGATTGGCTGGCAGAACTGGGGCTTAGACGTGACTGGCTGGAGAAACTGCTGGTACCCTCTGAGGTGGAAGATGATTGGCTGGTCAGAGTTGGTTTGGATGTGGCTGCGGCGCTCTTGCTAGACGTTTCGGTTCTTTGGGTTTTCTTGGAGTCCGGTTGAGACTGAATGCTGGAGTTGACGCGTTTTCGCAGGTTGCCGTTGGTATCCGAGGTTTGCTGTTGGGTAAAAGAGAGAAAACGTAACTAAAGTGCACAACGGATGTTCTCAGCAAACCCATAGATCATTTATCCTGCACTGTAAAAAAACAACAAAAAAACATTATATGTATATTTCAAAGTTGTGAATAAAATAAAGATTATTGCAGTACATTTTACAAGAAAATATTTCAGTATTTATATGTAAAAATTTCACATTTACTTAATTATTTGCACACTTTACAAGAATTTTTGAGTGAAAATTCTATGTAAATGTTACACTTTTTATTTTGTGTCTGTATATTGCTGTTCAAGTTGCAACTAAAACAATTAGTCGGGTAACCAAACAGTTAATGGTCCCCTTTAACTTCCATAGTATGAAGTCACTGTTTGGTTACCCATATTCTTCAAAATAACAAATTTTGTGTTCAGCCAAATAAATAAATTCATACAGGTTTGGAACAACTTGAGGGTGAGTAAATAATGGGAGAATTTAAATTTTTGGGTCAACTATTCCTTTAAACTGGATGCTGACAGTAACTTTAAACATAAAGCAAGCAGAGATGGAGACAACTGTAATATGAAGCAATATAAAATCAAGTTTTGGTTTAATAATATTTTCTAAATGTTTTGATGACACTATTGCATTGCCAAACTTGCGTTTTTAATGAGAAGACATGCAAGAGTCTCGCAACAGTCTCTGACACAAACGATTCAAAGTAAATTCAGAAATTGAGGAAACCATTGTATTGCAGGCAGCTAAAATAATGACTCTTTACACACAACATTTCTGTTTGTAGAATATTTAAAAGCATCATTGAAGACATTTTAAAGGAGATGTCAGGAACCGAATGTGTCCCATGCAGCGAGCAGCGCGTGTCTGTTTTGTGCAACCGAGCAGACGTCACGCTTGCAGTAACGTTCAGGGCTGTAAGGAGCTTTTATGATCAGATGGTTTGCTGTTAGTGGGTGTACGGAGGAGGAGGAGGGTGGAGCTATTCTATAAACAGCTTTTTTCATATAAACAAGGACAAGAGATGAGTCCACTCAGTGTGTGTGTGTATGTGTGTGGCCTGGTAAAGCCTACATTATGGGAACAAAATAACACCTCAAAGATGGCAATATCCGAAATCCTTGTCCTTGTGAGGAAATGTTTTGGTCCCTATGATGAAAACAGCTTATTAATCAAATCAAGTGATGCTTTTGACAATGTAAAAATCCAGAAAGTTTTCTGTGATGGGTAGGTGTAGGGGTAGTGTAAGGGGAGATAATTTACTGTTTGTACAGTTTAAAAATCATAATGTCTATGGAAAGTCTATGGTAGGTCCCCATAAAACATGACAACAAAACGTGTGTGTGTGTGTGTGTGTGCATGTGTATGTGAAATTCCTGATTGAAAGTGCATTTTTCAATGCACGAAAACAAGCAAGTTTTCAATAACACTTTCAATGACCCGCTTTCTGTCTTCTTGGCCATACTGTATGAGGAAACTATATATATATAACACTATTACACTAAATCACACAAATTACTTAAAGTATATGTAATAGAGTACAGTACAGTGCTGTTCTGTACATGAGCTAAACACATACACTGGGATTATAGTGAAGAGAGATCTTTCTTTCTCTCACTGGACCTGATAGCCCAGTTTCACCCTCAAATTTTTCACCATTTCCTCTGAGAATTGAACAGTTGGCAAAGTGTAATTGGTGTCTTGTGGTGTATGGAAAATATGTTAGAGCAAGCTGTGAGGAGAGAAGAAAGAGACTCAATACAACAGCTCTGTGAGACGTAAGCTGTGTATGAATTCCTACCTTCATCATAGAACGTACTACATTTGACGATTAACTCACTTGTCATAGGTACATGTAGGCATGCAGGTGTGCAACATAAATACATTCCTACACCTCATGCTTTGACCTACTGTATGATCAGACCCACAAAGAACATTTGGGGGCCATTCTTAGGGCCATTCACACCAAGGACAATAACTATAATGATTACGATATAGTTTTAGTAATCGCTCAAATGTTAAAGAATAGCAGAGTCCACACCACAACTATAACGGTACAGATATCGTTGGAATCACTTTCAGAATTTTTTTTTTTTTCAGCTGATAAATGTTGATAAAAAACATTGACAGCCAAACAGAGTCCATTCTGCTTTAAAGAGCTCCAGCTCGTGTTTATAATAGAGGGTGTGCGCATGACGTCACCGTCGGCCGGAGTGAATGCGGTCACGCCCACAAGTGGCAAAAAGACTGAGCGGCAGCATTTGTTTTCAGCGTGAATGCCGTGAAAAACACACAAAACACATCTAAAACGGGAAAGAGCTTTGCGATTGACTGTACAAGATTTGACCAGAAATCTGAGGTGCTGTATATTTTTACAGACTGCAAAAAGCTACAGAACAGACTATATTCTGCATAATTGGATGTTTTTAAATAAACACTGACAAAAAACTATACAAGTTAGGCTGGACGATATGATGATATACAGTATAACATTAATGTAAGTGATCACTCGGATTTAGACCTATCTATATTGTATTTATATAAAACGTTTACAGGCAAATTTTCTTAATTTATATCCCCGGCGTCGAAATCAGGCGCATATAAATGTCAGGAAACACGATTCCTGGCTGCATGTCAATATCCATGGATCACTGGATCTTTGATAAGTTGTAAGGAACACTATATCGAGTCCAACTTTTAGTTTAAACTGATAATAGTTTGTTTTACCCGTGTTTTCGCAGTTTCCCCTATTAACTCCAGCCACCCAGCAGCTCTTTTGCCACTCAGTCCGGCTGAGGGGGGCGTGTTCCGGCGGGAAAGTCACGTTAATGCATTCCCTCTATAAACAGGGCCACAGCCCGTTCTCATCCCAAGGCGTCATGCATGTGACGCTTTTGACATTTCGTCTAAATCCGACGCACATGGCATCCTTTAGCGTCTATATGAGACACAGATCCCAAGGCGTCATAACCGTACCCTACCCCAGACCAAAAACCTACCCATAACAGTGCGTGTTATGTTGACGCTAAAGGATGCCATGTGCGTAAAATTTCGACGAAATGTCATATGGCGTTACCTGTATGACACCAAAGGATGAGAATGTATTGGGTTCCCCGATAACGCTCACTCTTAGCGCGCTAAGAAGACTCGAAAGATATATCTTACCAAAGTTGTTTATGTTCCTAAGTGTGTTCCCCGAAGTGTCCCTTAGGAAGCTTCTTAACCTCTTAGGTTCGAAGTGAAGGCGCTGAATTAGTTGGCATCGATTGCTCAGGAATCGATTTTCCACTTCACGCGAAGGTGCATTACGGCGTTAAGAAAGACAACGCGTTCTATGCAAATGAAACATTCCTCAAATTATTCCAGTAACATTTATTTGAACATAGTTTAAGTTATCAGTAAAATATAGACTATTGATTAAATTATCAAATTGTCAGTTATATGTTCACACGATATGTTGTGACGGGTAGACGAACCGGGTATCCCTCTCTAATCATCCACCCTCCTTATCCCGTTGTGAAACTCTTTGGTCATTTTTTTTTAGAAATGCTAATAGTCTTGTCCACTTCAATGATGTATGCTAAGCTATCTAAAAGTGGTACCGCCAGAACCGGAGATCGGTTGAATCGATTCAAAAACGGTAAAACTCAACAGTTTAACTCTGGGGGAGTTGTAAAATGAGCCTATTTCCAAAAAAAGTGGAGTATCCCTTTAAGGCCTTAAAGCTAAATTACGCCGCGTTAGCCTGGCAAGCGCAGGTCTGAGAAGGTCCAGCAGCTCCATAATGAGTTGTCTTGGGAGGCGAATTGTTTTTAATATAGCCACGTCAGGCAAAATGTCAAAAGGGCTTAAGTTTTGCCGAATAAAAAAATTGACATGGACTAAACGGCTCCGCGGCCGGCGCCGTCCTAGATTCAATACAAGGACACGTTGGATCGCTGCCATAGTTGGTCGCTTACTGGACACCACCATGCTTACCCATTTATAGATCTTAGCCATTTAGAGCCAAATTGTTTGCCCAATTTTAATTATCAAAAGCGATTGCCAATTTAAACGCTTTAATGACATTATGAAATAGCCTAGGCGAATTACCACCATATTAGTTCTGACACCAAATAAAGTCAACTTTATAAATAGGCCTGTATCCATTGCGAACATACACTCACCTAAAGGATTATTAGGAACACCATACTAATACTGTGTTTGACCCCCTTTCGCCTTCAGAACTGCCTTAATTCTACGTGGCATTGATTCAACAAGGTGCTGAAAGCATTCTTTAGAAATGTTGGCCCAAATTGATAGGAAAGCATCTTGCAGTTGATGGAGATTTGTGGGATGCACATCCAGGGCACGAAGCTCCCGTTCCACCACATCCCAAAGATGCTCTATTGGGTTGAGATCTGGTGACTGTGGGGGCCATTTTAGTACAGTGAACTCATTGTCATGTTCAAGAAACCAATTTGAAATGATTCGAGCTTTGTGACATGGTGCATTATCCTGCTGGAAGTTGCCATCAGAGGATGGGGACATGGTGGCCATAAAGGGATGGACATGGTCAGAAACAATGCTCAGGTAGGCCGTGGCATTTAAACGATGCCCAATTGGCACTAAGGGGCCTAAAGTGTGCCAAAAAAACATCCCCCACACCATTAAACCACCACCACCAGCCTGCACAGTGGTAACAAGGCATGATGGATCCATGTTCTCATTACGCCAAATTCTGACTCTACCATCTGAATGTCTCAACAGAAATCGAGACTCATCAGACCAGGCAACATTTTTCCAGTCTTCAACTGTCCAATTTTGGTGAGCTCTTGCAAATTGTAGCCTCTTTTTCCTATTTGTAGTGGAGATGAGTGGTACCCGGTGGGGTCTTCTGCTGTTGTAGCCCATCCGCCTCAAGGTTGTGCGTGTTGTGGCTTCACAAATGCTTTGCTGCATACCTCGGTTGTAACGAGTGGTTATTTCACTCAAAGTTGCTCTTCTATCAGCTTGAATCAGTCGGCCCATTCTCCTCTGACCTCTAGCATCAACAAGGCATTTTCGCCCACAGGACTGCCGCATACTGGATGTTTTCCCCTTTTCACACCATTCTTTGTAAACCCTATAAATGGTTGTGCGTGAAAATCCCAGTAACTGAGCAGATTGTGAAAAACTCAGACCGGCCCGTCTGGCACCAACAACCATGCCACGCTCAAAATTGCTTAAATCACCTTTCTTTCCCATTCTGACATTCAGTTTGGAGTTCAGGAGATTGTCTTGACCAGGACCACACCCCTAAATGCATTGAAGCAACTGCCATGTGATTGGTTGATTAGATAATTGCATTAATGAGAAATTGAACAGGTGTTCCTAATAATCCTTTAGGTGAGTGTATTTTATTATTAGTCTTAAAATGTCCATAACATAAAATCATTGTTGAGCCACATCATTGTCAACATCCCATAGTTTGACTTGTACTGATTTCTAAAGACTGCTGCACAGTGGCGGCGACTAGCGTCTTGAGCTCAAACAACGCTAAGAGAGAGCTTACGAATGGTCCAGACCAACCTTACGAAAGTGTGACTTACAGAAGATATACTTAGCGTACGAACGTGTCGGGAATCGTGCCATGAAGTTAAGAGAGAGGTTAAGGAATAGGTTAAGAACTACTTAGCGGTAAGAACGTTTTGGGGAACCGGGCCCAGAGCGGTATTGTGCTTTGGTGTGGACACTAATATAGATATCACTATAGTTGTCTGTTATCATTCTTGGTGTGAGCAGGCCTTAAATCTGTAGTTAAACAAGTACTCTCACCACAACAAGCAACTACTTTTTCCTGGCATCTACGGCACTTTTTCTCCCAGTACTCCTTTGGATAGCAAAGTGTCTGGTTCTTGAACGGTTCAGATCTCAGCAGATGCAGTTCTCGGACCCAGGGATTCAAAAGGATTGCTGGAATCCTACCCATAATGCAGAGTTCACGTCATTTCCCTGATCATTTGTATCCTTTGCTTATTTTCTCTCTCTCAGCTCTCTGTCTGTCTAGGTAAAGAACATTTTCTTTTCAGTTTTTTCCCCCCCTTTCTTTTACCGAATAGGAACATCTATTAAAGGCAGCTCATTAATCCGTGGCCGTTCTGTGGTCAGCACATACACAGACTTAAATTGCTCCATATTGTGATTTTCTCTTAATGTGACTTATTGGGTTCAGATCAAGCATATAAAAACACAAGAGGGAATTGCGGCATTTATATACACGCACTGTCTGAGAAAATGGAAAGCCCCATTAAGATCCTGTAATTCGTCCTGTTACTTTCTAAATCATCGTATTTAAAAAAAGAAAGAAAAAGTATTGCATATCAAAACTTAAACCACCAGCAAAAGTTTAGAATAATAATAATTATTTTTAATGTATTTGAGAGAGGCCTCTTAAGCTCACTATGGCTGCATTTATTTGATCAAAAATACAGGAAAAAAACCTCTAATATTGTGAAATATTATTACAAATCTAAATAACGGTTTTCTATTATAATATTTTTTTAAAATGTAATTTATTCCTGTGATGCAAAGCTGAATTTCTAGCATCATTACTCCAGTCTTCAGTGTCACATGATCCTTCAGAAATCATTCTAATACGCTGATTTGCTGCTCAAGAAACATTTCTCATTATTATCAATGTTGAAACAGTTGTGCTGCTTCGTATTTTTGTGGAAACTGTGATTAATTCAGAAAGTTCAAAAGAACAGAAATTTATTATAGAAATCTTTTGCTACATAATAAATGTCTTTACTGTCACTTTGATCATTTTAATTAGTCTCTTCTGAATACAGTTTCTTCACCATAGTTTATTATTTATATTATTTTAGTATTGTTCCAAACTTTTGCCTGGTTACTCTAGTTGGTGAAAGTCTAGCTATGAAACTCTGAAGCAGTACTGAACATTAGGAATGTGAGTGCTGAGATAATGCCGATGAATTCCCAGGCTGGATTATTTGTAACGCGTATGAATTCAAACGTACAGTAGTTCCCGCTGTGTTGAGCTCACCGACTGAGTCATACGAGCTCCAATAACCTGCATCTGCTGAGATTTTCCACATTCACCGTAAAGAACCCCATCCTTCTACTCGGCGAACGGAAATGTGTGTTATGATGAGCAGAAGACAGAGAGGGGGAGACAAGGAGGAAGAGAAATATTGGTGGTTTGAAAGGCTTACAGAGAGCCACCATTAGATAAGGGACATTAACATCTTCAACAGCCTGTAAAAACGAACGACCAAAAAACAGGCCCGTAATACATCACGTCAACAGTCAGACACACTCTCACTAAGTCTCACAGCTGTCAGCATGTGCCACTTCTAATCCGCCATCTCAGCTTACGCACATTATCCCAGCAAAAGACCAAACCCACAGCGCACAAGCACACTCGCAATGTGCTGCTCTATCAGCTGTAATAAAACTAGCATCCGTTTCGTGACGTTTACGCTACAAAACTCCCATGATGCCCCAACGGTGGCTCATCTTACTCGACGCAAAACACAAAAAATACAACAACAAATGACTTGACTTTGTGTTACTCCTTCCTTAGCTGCTTTACTTTTATGCATACTACTTTTACACATTATTTATTTTATTGCAGAAGTGTTAGAAGATGAAACCGTGGCCGGAACTCAAAACCAGTGAAGAACAAGGACAGGTCATTTAACCCAAAATCAAAAGACAATATAAATAATAAGAAACTATGTTTTGCTTCAGGAAAATGAAGACTATTAACATTTGTTGCATTGCAACATTATTTACCTGACATATTTCCACAGATTATTATGAGTGGAATGTGGAAAAATAACGATATTTAGAAGTGTTTATGCACCATATACAGTATACATACACATGTTATACTGCCTTGAATTTAGGGTTAAAATACATTTAAATGAAATACATTTTATTAAAATAACAAATTACAATTATGTATCTTTTTTTTACTGAAAACCAGTTTTGAAAATCTAATGAGAATCACAGAGAATGAGAATTACCAAAAAAACAACAACACAAACTCAAAAGGACGCATTACATTATGATTATGATATTTATGATTAAAAAATATTCTTAGTTCCCATAAAGATAATGCACATGCAAAAAACCTAAATGGTTCTTAAAATAGCTTTTATTTTCTTTATGCAAAATGAAACAATATCTTATTTTACATATAAAATTTAGTTTCCATGCATTTTGTGTGCTGCTGATAAAAAAAAAAAAAAAGCTATTAAACTTGCCATAAAATACTACTGGTTGAGACTGTAATAAGATGAAAGACCTGTGTGACCAAAACACTCTTCCCATCATTCTTTTTGGCAGCATCCGAATGATAAAATACAGGTTGCACCAACCATCTTGGTAAGTAAAACTTTGCCAGTGCGTCCACTTTTCCCCCATTGAAAATCACTTGAACGCACATAACATCATAATTATGTCTTTGGAGCTTGTAATAGGAAGCTCTCAGGAGGAGTTGAAGGCAGCATTAGAACTGCAGCATTAATAAATGAACTGATGTACAGCGTAACATCTATTATACACAGTTTCAGACATGGCTCGTCCCATCAAATGTTAAAGTAACTGTGTGTTTTATAATGTAGATGTGGTGTTTGTAATGTGTGTAACAGCATCTCACCTGTAGAACCTCCTCTGTGTCTTTGGCTTTGCCTGACGCTGTGGAGCTCTTGGCACTGGCGGCAGCGGCGGCCTGTTTTCTCTTGGCTCTCTCCGCCTGCGCGTTGGTGAAGTAGTTCACGGCGGCAAACTCGATGAGAGCAGAGAAGACGAAAGCGAAACACACCGCGATGAACCAATCCATGGCCGTGGCGTACGAGACCTTGGGCAGAGAGTGACGCGCGCTGATGCTGAGGGTCGTCATCGTGAGCACGGTGGTGATTCCTGTGAGAAACACAAAGAGAAGAGTACATTCAAATAGGTCCTGTTATGCTTTTTTACATTTTCAGCTTTCTTTAGTGTGTAATGTTGCTGTTTGAGCATGAAAAGGTCTGCAAAGTTACAAAGCACAAAGTCACTCCAAAGGGAGTTATTCTCTATATCTAACTCCTTGAAACGCCTCCATTGTAGTCTTGAGTTTTCTTCTGGGAACGAACACGTCACAATATTCCTCATCTAAATAATTCCCGCCCAAGGCATATGCAAAATAAAGGGGCGGGGCCTGATTGAGTTAGTTAGTAGTGTGTTGAAACTTACAGTTATGTAAGGGGCGGGACATTTCACAAACAGGCTGGAAGCAATTGACCAATCAGAACACACTGGTCCAGCCGACCAATCAGAGCACAATGCACTTTTCGGAAGGAAGGGCTTCATAGAGACAGGAACTAAACAGTGTTACTGACAGACTGGGAAGAGAGGAGCTGCAACTATGTACAAACTAATGTGTTTTTATGAAAATGTGTGAATATATGCATACAATTCTGATACAAACTCCTGCCAACCACTTTATCTGATATCATTTTGTCTGCAACAATTAAGTTATGATAATTAAAATGGTCTGTAATGAGTTGAGTGTGAACATACTGCTCTTTATGGGTCATTTCTACTGACATAATCTGTCTTTATTGCTTATAAACCGGTAAAACTGCTTCACCTGTGACTGCAAATCATGTAAACAAACTGTTTGAGTATCATTCCAATAGTCCATAAGTGTCTATTAGTGATAATAATTCCTTTATTCTCTTCTCTTTCCAGTCTGTGTTTCCCTTAGGAGTTCATTAAAACTGACCACCATGAAACAATGTAATTTGCTGAGAGTTTAAAATCAATGAGCAAAACTATTAGTGCCCCATTAGTTTACCACAAAAGTCCATAACATTAGGCTAACAGAAGAAACTGCATATAAAGACACAATAAGGCATAATGAAACAATAAATGAAGACCCTTTAACAATCAGGGAACCTTTCCATTGCACAAACGTTTTTTCTTCTTCTTTTTTTCTAATATAAAAATGGTTCATTTAAGAAGTGTTCACTGAAAGGTTCTTTGGGGAACCAAAAATGGTTATTCTATGGCATCACTGCAAAAAAAAAAAAAAATTAAGAGCTAATGAGAAAAAAAATAGCAAAGGGTCTTGATTTTATCCTTCAAGAATTGTTTGAATCATGAAAACAGCTGAGAAATGAAGGGATTTGTGATGTCAGTCAAATGCACATAAAACAATATAGGAAAAATGTCTTATTTAGGAGTATTTTCTCCTCCTTTATGATGAGCTATATTAGTTACATTTTATTATTTGGATTTTATATATTTTTTTTACCAATGTTCTGCACCTCACAATGTTCAGCTTGCAGGACTTCTCCAAACATTCACGTTTTGGTCAATCTACAGGTGTATTTGGTTTATGGGGTCATCCCAAACGAGGAACTCTATAGCAGTAACACTGTGAACCACCAGGGGGAGTCAGGAGTTCACTCTTAACCTGAATGTCTTAAGTTGGAAGCGTTTCTGCCACAGAGCAGTGAGCATGCCAGACGTGAGTCACACACACACACACACACACCAACACACAAATACACACAATCACGGAGGCAGCCTGTATCCCTTCTCCTCCCTCCCACACACACACAGAATCTCTCTCGACTCACACATACACCCACATGCACACGCTAATAAAACATAAGAAAACACACACACACAAACCTCTTGCACATAAAGCCAACCCCGCACACAAGACTAACACACTCTCCTACATATTTTCTCTGTATTCTTGAGTTTGCAAGTGCCTGTACGTTAGAAATAAACACGGACATGAAAAGACACTTTCACAAGTAATGGTTTGTTGGTTGGCGTGACAGCTGTTTTCTGAACCACTCGAGTCCACTTGAAACGAAGCCTGTCAAGAACATGTCTGGGTCATATTTCAACAACAACAACAAAAAAATCTATGTTTATTTCTATTTTTTTGCATTTGCATTATTTGTATGACATTAAGCACATGTGCCCTCTGTTCTTATTATCGTAATGTTGTTTTTTACTCTAATGTGCTTATTTACTTTATGCTTATTTAATAAAAACACTATTAAAGTACTTTTTATACGCTAATACAATACTAAAAATACAATACTATTAATCTAATATTGAAAATCAAGAATTAAAATAAAAACCATTACAATAATGACAATTTGTGGGGAAAGTGTTTAATTGACAAAAAGAAAATATTGAAAAATAAAAACAACTTAATGGTCCTAAAATATTTAATTTTGTTAATATTTCAAAAATAATAATTTTTATTTCATATATTATTTGATATATTATGTAAATATTTTACTTTAAATATATATATATATTTTTGGGGGTGGTGAACATGACCTGTGCATGATCTCTCTCTATACATGCACCCTAAAATACATGTCTCAAAGCTGCTATACTCTGCAGAAATTGCCTTCCGTGAGTATCATTCTTTGCATCTCTTACCACATACCTGTGGTAGACAAACACAAGAGCTGTTCTGTGCATGCATTTTGTCAAAGGACAAACCCATGAATAAAACAGTGAAGTTAACACCTCTACCTGAGTTACCTAGCTACAGTGGTAAACAGGTGCCGCTAGTGCTCACGGTGGCACTCGGATCTGCGGGGGCAGGCCGAGGGATTTGCATCGAACTCTTGCCTATAAGATGAGCTCACAGCTCTGGAGAATCATCCACACTCTCTGGAAAACTTCACACGATCACAGCGCACTCACAAACGCCCACATACAGACCGATCTGGAGCGATCAATAGGTACATCACAAGCTACATTTAGCCAGAGGTGCTGGATGTGTTTTTTCTTCTGTTTCACTGCCGAATCCACAGTACTGTGAGAGCGTTGCTTTAGTGCCTTTCTGCTATTGGCTGAGAAGGATGAGGATGTCGCCAATACAAGCAAACACGAATAATAGAACAAACAAATGGGGTTACAGAGCCGGTCACGGCCTTCAATCGGATGCTAACTAATAGAAAAAGTAACTAATTTAAAGTAAAAGTTCAGCTTTAAAGACAATTATGTCAATATATACTCACAATATGTTTCGACTACCTTTCTTATATACTTGGCATGTGAAGATGCGTTGTGTCAGATTTGATGTCAATGACACCAAATAGCATCAATTTCTAGGTGAACTATCCATTTTAAACGGGTCCTATTCTATTTTATATTCTAGTTTATGGCATGGATATGTGAAAGTATTATTAGCATATGCGCATATGCTAATGTCTTCAAGGTCCGACTCGCGTCAAGTCAGATTCATTTGTATGGCATTTTACACAATACACATTGTTCAAAAGCAGCTTGTTATGCTTATAATGTCTTAATATCTCCGTGGCATTTAGCAAAGCTGTATGAATGTAATATAGTTTACTTTCTCCAACGAAACATACAAGCAATCAAGCAGGTGAGATTTGCTATATACTGTAGTACAGGCCTACACGAGTGTATGTATGCAGATAAAGTTGGACTTACTTATATAAAATCTTTGTATAAAGAGCTGGGTGATAATATAGTTTGCATTAACAAAATAAATAAAAAATCAGCAAGTTGAGATTTGATGTATATTATATATCGCACTTCATGAGTGTACTGTGTATGAGTGTACTGTTCTGACATTATAACTGAATGACCCATTTTTACAGCTTAAATGGTCTAAGTAGAGAAAAACGAGGCAAAACGTTTCATTAAACACTACCAAACTACTTTCAAACTACATTCTGCTGACAAAGGTAGTAAAAAAAATCAGTAACTGAGCCATTAGGAAGCCTTTCCAAAATACACTAGAGCCATGTGTAGAGAAAGCGAAATATGGAAGCCATCCCAGAACAGATAAACAACAGATCATTGTGGTCTCCTGCTGCGTCCATTCTGCACATGCACCGGCCATCAAAAACCCACCCTGTCATTACCCACAAACCCCTTCACTAAGCACACTTCCATCTAGGACACCAAAAGCCGCTCCTCTGGCCCGAGTCCAAGCGCACCGCACTGTTAGTAGCCATCTGAAGGTGGGTCATTGTTACACTTTTCCAGTGGAGAATGAGAGCGTGCTATTCTCAGCATCTCTAGTGCCCCAGGTGAAGTGTGGAGGGAAACAGGAGGTGTGTGCACGAGCGTGTGTCAGTGTATGTAGATGTGTTTTTGTCATGTAAAGATGCAGCACACATGAGTTTTCAGGACTGATCGGGCACATGGTGCTCAAGCGATGCCTGCCAGTGGAAACGAGAGCTTGAGCCTCCTAACTATTAAGACTGTATGGGCAGGTGAACTCATGAACATGAAGCTCGTTTAACAAGCGTACACTCACTCACATTTTTTTGTTCACTTGATCCTGCAACACACAAAAATCAAACTCTATCATTTTCATAGTACTGGGTATCGCCAATTACCTCATGATATGATACACTTCAATCGTGACACGCGTTATGATTCAGTAGCTTGTGATGCATCACAGCATCATGCATCAGGACTGAAGCCAAACCAAACTAACACTTTAACACAAACAGAAAACACCCTTCACATAGATGATTATCTTGCTTCACACATATATTCTGGGTTAGTAATTAATCCTTGGTTGTCAAGATTTGAGATTTCACACTGTACATACTCTACCATTCAAAAGATTTATTAAAGAGGACCTATTATGCTTTTTCAACTTTTAGTGTAATGTTGCTGTTTGAGCATGAAAAGGTCTGCAAAGTTACAAAGCTCAAAGTCACTCCAGCGGGAGTTATTCTCGAGAATAATAATGATATAGATCTATATCAGTGTCTGTTTCTGAACTCCCTGAAACGCATTTTCTTCCATGAACGAACACGTCACAATATCCCTCATTTCAATAATTCCCGCTAAAATCATATGCTAAAAAGGGGGCGGGGCCTGTTTAAGTTAGTTAGTAGTTTGTTGAAAGTGAAACCTGGGGTTATGGTAAGGGGCGGGACATATCTGAAACACGCTTAAAGCGGTTGACCAATCAGAACACACTGGGCCAGCCGACCAATCAGAGCACATTGTGTTTATCGGGGCTTCGTAGAGACAGGAACTAAACAGTGTTACTGACAGACTGGGAAGAGACGAGCTGCAACAATGGAGAATATGTGAAAAATAATGTCTTTTAACAAAAATCAAGCTTGAAAACCTATTCTAGTAGCTCCCAAATACAAAATCAAGTTGCATTTATTTGATCTAAAATAGAGGAAAAACAGTAATACTGTAAAATATTATTAAAATAACTGTTTTCTACTTGAGTATGTTTTAAAATGTAATGTATTCCTGTGGTGCAGAGATGAATTTTCAGCATTATACTCCAGTTTCTGTGTCACATGATCCTTCAGAAATCATTCTAATATGCTAATTTGCTGCTCAAGAAACATTTATTATTAATATCAATGTTCAAAACAGCTGTGCTGTTTAAGTTATCTTAAAATAAAGTTTAAAAGAACAGCATTTATTTGAAATAGATATATTTTGTAACATTATAAATGTAATTACTGTTACTTTTGATAAATATAATACATCCTTGCTGAATAAAAGTACTGAAACTGACCCCATTTTTTTTTTTAAACGATATTGTACCTATTGGCTTGTCCATCTATGTAAATGTGAGCATGTAAATCTGCTCTAGTTGTCATAAGAATTTACTATGCATAAAACAGAAAATGCAAGACAAAAAAAAAAAAAAGAATACGTCAGAAATCTCCAACCTCCATATATGAAAGTGTGAAAGTTTCCGTACAAAGTGCATGAATATCTAATGACACCAGCTTTAACGCAGTTCATAATCGTTTGTCATTTGCTAAACAATTTAATATCGCATCTCTAGTAAGGCACAACTTCACACTGTATATCCTCAGCAATGCAATCTGGGTAGAAAGTAATGCTAACCCACTTTCAAAAGCGGCCTTTACCTGAGGTTAAAAAAGAAATGAACCCAGCATTACACATAGCAGAATAAAACAAAATGATACAAAGAAAGAGAAGTGTAAAAAATGATAAATGGATAGAGGGAGGAAGGGAGACATGACAGAAGGAAACAGATCTCTTCTCCATATTTGCATGAAAATGGTGTTGGCGGCTCAAACAGTGCAGAAGATTTGAGAGTAACACATACCAAAGACAGTTCTGGCGGGTACGGATTCCTTATTTATCCAGAAAGACACTTGGGAAAGGATTACAGTCATGATGCAGGGGATGTACGTCTGAATCATGAAGTAGCCCATTTTCCGTTTCAAGTGGAAGTAGACCGTCATTACCACATATTCACCTGAAAGAGCAGAGAAACAGAAACGGGAAGTGCCTTATAATCCTGAAAGTGAACACGCATAGGAACAAGGTCAGAATGACAGTCTGTCACCACGGCAGACTTATTTTGGCTGAATAGCAAAGTTTTCTGGCTGTTAAGCTGCGCTGGCAGATTCATCTTATTTTAACAGAATGAGGCTTGCAGCCGTATTGGGAACCAGAGCTCCAGTCATCAAAACACACGCTGAATGCTCCAAATCTCTGATGTCATTTTGATAAGAAAGATGTAATAAATAAATAAACAATTGGTATTGTTTCCCCCCTCCCCCCTTCTGTTTAACTGAAGTACACAGTTGCTCTAAAAAAAAAACCAAGCCGTTCTGAAAGCGCTCACGCTGACCTTTACGTTTAAGCTGACATGTGGCATGAGTAAAATAGTTTTTCTTTTAATCTAGCTTACGTCGCTATCAAATATTCTCCGTGATCAGGTGACTCTCGGACACAGACCAGGTGACTCTGAACATGTGCGTGCTGAAAGATGGACGTGTGTGTGTGTGTATACGTGACTTTAAGAGTATTTGTTCAGACCTACTGACTTTTGGTGGAAGAAAACAATTGGCATTTGTAACGCACAGGCTAAACCGTAAAGGCATCAAATCTGTGGCGGCTCTATGTTTAAAATGTAATTCTTCCATTAGAGTGAGCAGTGGCCTATAATTAAGTCTAATCAAAGCTAGATTTGCATTTCCAGAAAGAAATTGAAAGTTCTTGCAATGCAGCACAAGGATAGACTTTTAGGTACGTTTAGGTTTTCTGTGTCAATTAAATAATGTTGTTTCACATATAGTCGCTGTAAAGAGTAACAGGCTCAAATTGGGAAGTTTAAGTGGTCATTTTGTTGACTGCATACGAAAATGCTGCATAATGTGACATAATAACAGCCAATCAAAGCATATTATATGTTATAGTTATGGAATGTAGGAGTTGGGAGTAATGTTTTCATGGTAGGGGCGACATAAAAAGAAATCAAGTTATTGTCAAAATGTCCATGTGGTCACAGCTGGCTTGGACATGTTTCTATAAGTGGTAAAACATATGAAAGAAGACACCCCTCCCACATTCATACACACACGTATATTCAATATGTGTATATATGGGTGTGTGTGTGTAAAAGTTTTATATTGATCGTACTTTCAACATTAATTGTCATCATTGCAAATTTTGCATTCTAAATCCCTTTCTTTCACCTACTTGCATATTGGAATTGTGATTGGTCGGGTCAAATGCATTATTAATTGTATTCGGCAAGGATGCATTCAACTGATCAAAAGTGACAGTAAAAACAGCAGCACAAATGTTTTTTTTTTTTGTTTTTTTTAAGATTAGAAAACCCCAAAATTAATATATTCTTCAATTCTCAATGGGGTTTAGACCTCAATATATGCTGCTTTGCAAGCACTACTCCAGTAAGATTTTTTTGAAAGACTAATACTTTATTCAGCAAGGATGCATTAAACTGATAAAAAGTGACAGTAAAGACAGCAACACAATTGTTTTCAACATTGCACATAATAAGAAATGTTTCCTGAGCATCAAATCAGCATATTAGAATGATTTCTGATGGATCATGTGACACTGAAGACTGGAGTAATGATGCTGAAAATTCAGCTTTGCATAACAAGAATAAATGACATTTTAAATATATTTAAATAAATTGGAATATTATTTCACAATAATACTTTTTTACTGTATTTTTGATCAGATAAATGCAGCCTTGGTGAACATAAGAGACTTAGGCTATGTTCAGACTGTCGGTCCAAATCAGATTTTTTTGCATATCCGTTTGAAATCCGATCAGATTTAGCCAGTGTGAACGGCAAAAATATCACATGAAAAGCGTCATTTACAAATCTGTTTACTGTTTACAGCTACATTCATATGTGGTTTGAAATCCTATTCAAATAGCCTTTATGGACATCCGTTTCAGTCTGACCGCTCTGACCGGATTTCGCATGGTTTATGTGACTTTCTCACGGCACGTAAAACATTAACGTCAGACGTTGTTGTAAGAAAACATGCTGAAATTTGTCGCTGCAGAAACAAGGTCGTGTTGTTTCAAAGTGCCGGACGAAATGACAATATAACGTATACGACATATCTAAAGGATTAGTAGGAACACCATACTAATACTGTGTTTGACCCCCTTTTGCCTTCAGAACAGCCTTAATTCTACGTGGCATTGATTCAACAAGGTGCTGAAAGCATTCTTTAGAAATGTTGGCCCATATTGATAGGATAGCATCTTGCAGTTGATGGAGATTTGTGGGATGCACATCCAGGGCACGAAGCTCCCGTTCCACCACATCCCACAGATGCTCTATTGGGTTGAGATCTGGTGACTGTGGGGGCCATTTTAGTGCAGTGAACTCATTGTCATGTTCAAGAAACCAATTTGAAATGATTCGAGCTTTGTGACATGGTGCATTATCCTGCTGGAAGTAGCCATCAGAGGATGGGTACATGGTGGCCATAAAGGGATGGACATGGTCAGAAACAATGCTCAGGTAGGCCGTGGCATTTAAACGATGCCCAATTGGCACTAAGGGGCCTAAAGTGTGCCAAGAAAACATCCCCCACACCATTAAACCACCACCACCAGCCTGCACAGTGGTAACAAGGCATGATGGATCCATGTTTTCATTCTGTTTACGCCAAATTCTGACTCTACCATCTGAATGTCTCAACAGAAATCGAGACTCATCAGACCAGGCAACATTTTTCCAGTCTCCAACTGTCCAATTTTGGTGAGCTCTTGCAAATTGTAGCCTTTTTCCTATTTGTAGTGGAGATGAGTGGTACCCGGTGGGGTCTTCTGCTGTTGTAGCCCATCCGCCTCAAGGTTGTGTTGTGGCTTCACAAATGCTTTGCTGCATACCTCGGTTGTAACGAGTGGTTATTTCAGTCAAAGTTGCTCTTCTATCAGCTTGAATCAGTCGGCCCATTCTCCTCTGACCTCTAGCATCAACAAGGCATTTTCGCCCACAGGACTGCCGCATACTGGATGTTTTTCCCTTTTCACACCATTCTTTGTAAACCCTAGAAATGGTTGTGCGTGAAAATCCCAGTAACTGAGCAGATTGTGAAATACTCAGACCGGCCCGTCTGACACCAACAACCATGTCACGCTCAAAATTGCTTAAATCACCTTTCTTTCCCATTCTGACATTCAGTTTGGAGTTCAGGAGATTGTCTTGACCAGGACCACACCCCTAAATGCATTGAAGCAACTGCCATGTGATTGGTTGATTAGATAATTGCATTAATGATAAATTGAACAGGTGTTCCTAATAATCCTTTAGGTGAGTGTATAAGACATGTTATATTGAAATATTTGAAAGCCGATAACAAATATATTGTCTGACACCGCGGAATAAAGCCACTCATACAAGCTTCTTTGCCTCCACATTTCTGCCGCTGCCAGAATCATCAGAAGACGCAGTAGTCCAGCGCAGTGGAAACATATTGTCATCTTGTAAATAAAACAACATCTGTATTGCAAACCCCTCCATGTTAAGGTTGTTGTTGTTTTGGTGTATACCTACCAATGCAACACCATTGCCATATAAACAATGCAGATATTTCAGAAAACAAAAGAGCGGCAAGGGACACTCAAATCGGATCTGAACAGTTGTTATACAATGTGGACAGTCAATAATTTTAGATCAGATTCCAATCGGATACACAAATAATCGGATTTGGACTGACAGTGTGAACGTAGCCTTACTGACCCCAACATTTTGGACAGTAGTGTATACTGCAAGATATTCACATAAGAAAATGTTGCCGTCATTGTGATAGTGTGTTATGTGCGTGTACCTGTGATGGACTTTACAGTCTCGCTTGACACAGTCTGTCCGATCAGGTCGTACTGGACCAGGCTGGACGACTCAGGTGGGACCTCCACAGAATGCTGAGGGCCTTTGGTCCAGGTGTAGATCACCTCAGTCATTGGATAGGCATCTGATAAACAAAAGAGAGCCATCGTAACAAGAACAGAGGGAATATGTGTGTGCATAAACCTAACAATCGGACCATATCTGTGGCATCGTGTGTATCCCGGTGGAAATGAAAAAGACAGAAATGAGATTAAACACAGGGTAAATGGAGACTTCTGCTGCAGTCTCCTGATGCTCAGGTTGTTCTCAAGAGAAAAAAGGCCTTAGGTAAAATGGAAACAAATGAGGCAATTGTCGGCGTACTGCTGGAAACTGCAGATCATAGGGGAAAAAATGGTTCAAATTGAGCTTTATGATCACAGATTTTGCTTTGGCAAATCTGAGCACAGTTTGAGACATTGCCGAGACTATTGTTTTAGTGGAGATCTGAGATTACAGGTTTCAGTAACACTTTACAATAAGGTCCCATTATGTTAATGCAATAACAATGAGCAAAAAATTCTACTGTTCGTTGTTAGTTCATGTTAGCTCTGGTCCATTAAAGCATATTTACATATAGACGACATTTGATTATATGTTAAAAACCTAAATTAAACCATATTGTAAAGTATTACCCTGTTTCCATTTCTCAAGAGAAATGTCTGAGAGTTTTCGTTTGCACCTCTACTTAATTTCATTCCTGTCTTTGAGAAACAAAAAGATCTCATTTGTGATGTTCCCTTCCTGCAGGATATCAAAAACTGCTTCGATTTGCCAATCAGAAGAACCAACTCCAACATTTCTGATCTAATTTCACAACAATTGTCTACTTTTATTTCTATTTTTATTTCACCCGAGGAAATAAAGAAGTTAATACTTCAATTAAAGATATCTGGGAACTTCACCAGGTCTCCTGAGCTATGAAAGCGCAATCTATGAGCAATGAAATCTTCCTCTGGATATGCCTACGCATGGAACCGTCCATATTAGTCCTCGAGCTCAGGGTCGAACGGTCGCCGCTAAGACACTGCTCTTTCCTCACTGCTGCCCACTTCCTCCACTGTGCGTGCCAATCTCAAATCTGAGCCAAGCAGAACAATCATCCTGACACAGAAATCAGATCCGCTGAGATGTTCTCCAGCTGAGAATCAGACAGATTTCATTTATGGAGGAGAAATCCATACATCAAACAGCGCAGAGACTGACTGCGCATCCAGGAGTCCGTCGGCACGCTCCCTCCGCTCCTGTCCTCCTTTGAGATCATCACCATCATCCTCATCTCTCTCTATCTTCCTTAATTCTCTTTTTTTTCTCTCCTCCTTGCTGTCTCTTTCTCCATTTCTGCTTCTGAACCCCCACACACTGGGAAATAGAGCAGAGGAAGGACTTCCAAGACACCCACCAACAACCCCATGAAAATAGAAAGAGAGAGCGCAAGAAAGAAAAGAGAGGGGGACAGAGAGACTAAATGAGTTTGAGCATGACAGAATTTTTTGAGGGGAACCGAACGAACCCTAGTGAGAGAGAGAGAGAGAGAGAGAGAGAGAGAGAGAGAGAGAGAGAGAGAGAGAGAGAGAGAGAGAGAGAGAGAGAGAGAGAGAGACATACTGTATCAGTGCAACTTGAGTTAAATTACAAACTACATTTTCTGATGTTCTGATGTTTTCTGTCCGCGCAAAAGTTCCTGTCACTATGCTTATGTTTTGTTTAGGGATGCACCAGTGTGAACATTTTGGCCGATACAGATAACCATTAATTCTTTATATTTGAAAGCCGATAACGAATATATTGGCGGATAAATCTAAATCCAAGTTTTTATATGATTTTTGAGAGCCTGATTACAAAAACGAATCTCACCATTAAAATCCATGTCCCAAGCACACAATTATAATGTTCTCATTATAATGTTAATGCACTGCACATGTTGTGTAAACTGTATTTTCCTTTTTTGAAGTGATTCCAATCACATTTCAAGTAATTCAAAACCATCATGGCGAACAGTTCGCATCTGAAGTGTCTCAGCTGAAGGAAATAATCCATTATTTATCGGCCATATTTTTTAATTGGGCAGATAGCGATAACATAAAAAATGAAAATATATTGGACGATACCGACATGGTGGCTGATATATCGTGCATCCCTAGTTTTGTTGCCAGGGTTTTATCGTTGCCAGGGCATTTAGAGTTGCTCTGCGAAATATTGTCAGCGAAATCCAGTCATTTCAATCTGGAGTTTTGCTCGTGTTCAAGTTGGTCGTGCAAATTGAGTTTCTTTTTATCAGAAGTCTAATTGCTTAGTAAGATACCAGCCCACTTCTCAACAAAACACTTGATGTGAAGAATTATTCATGTCTAGAGGTTAAATTGTGGTGTAGGGCTGCATGATTTGGAGAAAAAAAATCGACTTGTGAATTCTTTTTTTTTAAAGGTTTTATTTTTTGAGATAATACAGTATAGATAACCGAGAGCAAGTGAAGTGGGAGAGAGAGGGGAAAGGATTATGTTGATCTCTGTTGATCCTGGAATAACATTTCAATCAACAAATAAGATTTGAGGGTTAGGAAGTTTACAGTTTATGTCAAGTTTTGGCTTACAACCAGGGTTAGGTGTTACTACATCAGTGTTATATAATTTACCTCTGATTTTAGGGATAACTTATGGGTATAGGGTTCGGTTTAGGGTTAGGACACAATTTTCGGACAGGAATGTTGTTCCAGGATCAACTAATTATGTTGATCCAGGAACATGTCTTACTTGGCAAAATCACAGTGACCATAAATGGACACAGTAAATACATATATATTTATTTAATTATCTTACAGCCTTTACGATTTAATAATTGCACAAAGCCATATATCACGATTTCGGTTTGATTTCGATTCATCTTGCAAGCCTACACTGTAAGATACACTACACAGTGAAGTTTTGTAAAAAAAAACACTAACCCTAGCTACCTGTATGAGTGAAAGTAACCCTAGCAAACATCACTAATAAAAGATGACACGACATGAGAGAGGAGCAGAAAACTATATCAGAGTGCAAAGGAAAGAGCGTAAAATGAAAACGAGAGCTGTTATAGGTCTGCGCTGTCCCGGGGCAGGAGGGAAAGCTGTGGTGACCTTCTCGACTCTACAGGGGACGAACAGCTCTCTGTCTAGATGCTTCCCCTCAGGCCCAGAAAAAGGACAGAAAGATGTATATAAGAAGACAAAGAGAAGAGAGAGCGAGATATCCGTCAGCACATTAGCACAGCCACCACTACAAAACCAAAACATCGAGATCGTCCTCATCACAATGTCACAATGCGTCAGCAGGAGCCCTCTGGACTGATTTTATCTCCAGATCTCCCAGCAGTCTCCATAAAAGAGCCCTACCCACCTGCCACATATTCCCATTCGAGATTAGGCCTTCTTTTCAGATTTCGCTTTCTTTTACCTGAATCGTTTTTTTATGTTTTCGTTTTCATTTTTGCTGACCGACTGTCGTGAACAGTCCTGCTGATATAGAGATTCTTTGTTCAGTTTTTAGAATATGAACTAAGTCTGTATTTACACACTCAGAGGGAAAAGTAATTTCTCCTTGAGGAGAAGAGTTGTTTTTTCAGATCTCTAAGGTAGAGGGCTTAAATTAAACTTGTAGCTTATGTATATAAATTTATATCTATATATATATATATCTACAAGTTCTCTCTCTCTCTCTCTCTCTCTCTCTCTCTCTCTCTCTCTCTCTCTCTCTATATATATATATATATATATATATATATATATATATATATACAAACAGGGAGAGAGTTAATATATATATATAGATAAGATATAGATATACAGTATATTAACTCTCTCCCTGTTTGTATATATATATATATATATATATATATATAGAGAGAGAGAGAGAGATAGATAGATAGATATATAGAGAGGTAGAGAGAGAGAGAGAGAGAGAGAGGTAGATAATTATAGGTATATATATATATATATACCTATAACCTCTCTCTCTCTCTCTCTCTACTCTCTCTCTCTCTCTATATATATATATACATATATATATATATATATATATATATATAGAGAGAGAGATGCTGCGTCCCAATTCGCCTACTTATACTATGCCCTATACTGTTTTTATGAAGAACAAATACATATACTTTTGAGTGTGTAGCAGAATAGAGGGCAAGCTTTTGGACATACTACTTCATCATAATTGTGTCTTTAACTAACTCTGTCGTGTAGTAAAGTGCATCCTGTCACTGTTTAAACTGCCCTGTTAATCATCTTGTCACACTTGAAAACCACATTCAGTTTCATTTATTTTCCCACATGTACGTTGATCTGCCAGTCGTGGGTCTTTCATGCGGAGACTCTCCTCATGTGTTTGCAATTTGCATAATGATGCATTTATGTTAATGACCAAACGTATCTTTACAAAAGTTCACAATGCTGTTGCAGATTAAACATATTGTGGATAACATTGAATAAATATCTTTTCATCAGGTTAGATAATGATTATTAATCATTCAAACCACTTTATCTAAACCTCTCTACCTAACTGTCGGACTAGCACATCCACCATGTTTGTAGTTTTTAACACTTTTTATGTGAGTTTGTAGTTCTAAATCAAATCCTCGTCCGACTCCAACGCACAATGGGTTGTGGGCAATATTAGCCATTAGAGTGTGCATGGATCTGCACTTCCGATACTAACTGAATAAAAGTAGACCATCTGGGTATCTTTGGAATACTCATTTCAACATACTACGTTTTGGTAGCCAGGGAAAACCCAAGGGGGTAATCCATCGACCAGAAGTTGAAGCCGGCTGGGTGCCGCCATGTTGTAGCAGAACTTCACTTGCGTTAGAATTTCCATCGACTCCCATTCATTTTGGCGTCACTTTGACAGCGAATAACTTTACATCTGAGGCGTTTAAAGACTCCATTTGTCCATTATTTATTTCTAAAGAAACACGACAATGTATAAAGGGCTCCATTACCTTTTATGTTACATTATGGCCCCGTAGAAACAGATTTTGTAAAAATAGGCTAACGATTGCGTCATAACCACTCGACTCTCTGTCGCGCTGTACAGAAATGACCGTACAGACAGGAGCAGAAGCTCACAGGCAATCGGGGGGACGTCCCGTCAAGGGAGAAGCCCATAGATAATGAGTCCATAAAAGCAACGGAATACTTTCTCCTGCTCACTCACGCCAAAGAACTCTTTGCTCAAGTTCTCCGTCTCTGCAAGATTAACGTTGGCAATTTTCACGCACAGCTGCTAGAAGATTAACGTCTGTCAGACAGGTTGCTCACGTCATCAAGCTTAGTTTGAGTCGGTTTGAGTCTGCGCGTCAGGAACGGAAGTGCTCAAAAATCGCTAAAAATGGGCTTCAACTGTCTCAACTGAGTTCCAATGAGATGGCTCTGTCCATTTCTTATACTGTCTATGGGAAAACCCAGACAACTTCCGGCAAATTTAGATTTGCTCTGCAAGTTAGTCTGGCAAAGAGCTCATTCAAGCCCATTTCTAATCCGTCGAAATCGAGGCACCAATCAGAAACGTTGGGGCGGGCTTTACACGATGACGACAGCACAGCGACGGTGAAGTTGATTTTGTACATTTACAAAGATGGATGCCGTCGTGGAACTAGGGGTGTGACGGTTATAGTTGAACACCTATAGGTTGAACACCTATTAGAACTCTATAACCGCCAAAACCATGTTATTAAAATATTTTTTTCACAAACATTTTTTATCATAGAGAATGTTTAAATACTAATATCAGCTTACGAGGGAAACGGAGGCGGAGATAGTGCTGCGATCGGAGGCTGCTACTGCTGGAGATGATTCGGGAGAGGTCTGTGCACCTTTACCGATCAGAGCGCGCGCTGACACGGAGTAAAGCCTTGTTTATACTCGACGCGTCCGCACGAGCGCGAAGGTGCGCGCGGCAAAAATGACGCGTTCGGTGCGCAAGACCGGGAAGACCCCATTTTGCTTGGCTGTGTGCACGGCTTTTTTTGTAACAGCGCGCGGCGCGTCCGAGGATGACCGACTTCAAGCCGAATCTGCCCGAGCATATATGTCTCACCGCACCGGCACCCATTTTAAATAAACGTAGAGCAAGTAGCTAATCAGTGTCTGCTCGTCAGACGAACGTCACTCTGATTGGTTTTAGGTCTATCCAATTGCGCCCAGAGGCATTTGAGCTACGTCCGTTGGTGACGCCTCTTTGGAAATGATTTGTCTATGATGCTTTTTTCCCGACCATAACTCAGTTACAACTGAGAATGGTCTGGTTTTAACCAGGCTAACGTTTTGGGACACACCAATTCTAATTTCGAATACAATTTATGATGGATAGCACGCAAATTGGGATGCAGCAGAAGTCTCCTTTCTTACGTTTAGGTCTTAAAGGGTTAGTTCACCCAAAAATGAAAATTATGTCATTAATGACTCACCCTCATGTCGTCCCAAGCCCGTAAGACCTCCGTTCATCTTCGGGACACAGTTTACGATATTTTAGATTTAGTCCGAGAGCTTTCTGTCCCTCCATTGAAAATGTATGTACGGTATACTGTCCTTGTCCAGAAAGGAAATAAAGACATCATCAAAGTAGTCCATGTGACATCAGTGGGTTAGTTAGAATGTTTTGAAGCATCGAAAATACATTTTGGTCCAAAAATAACAAAAACTACGACTTTATTCAGCATTGTATTGTCTTCCGGTTCTGTTGTGGATCCGCGTTCAGTGCCGCTGCTGACGTGTGTCTGGTGTGTGTGTGTGTGTGTGTGTGTGTGTGTGTGTGTGTGTGTGTGTGTGTGTGTGTGTGTATTCCGGTTCTGTTGTGGATCCGCGTTCAGTGCCGCCGCTGACGTAAGACGCTGCTGACGTGTGTCTGGTGCGTCCGTGTATTCGGGTTCAAATAAATATGGCTGCAAGTCTTCCTCTGTGTGGAAATCCTTAGACATGTTTGTGAAGATTGTTTAGTTTCCAGCGTGCGTCTCCCTCAGACTGTAAACGAAGCTCGGGCGCACCAGACACACGTCAGCAGCGTCTTACGTCAGCGGCGGCACTGAACGCGGATCCACAACAGAACCGGAAGACAATACAATGCTGAATAAAGTCCTAGTTTTTGTTATTTTTGGAGTAAAATGTATTTTCGATGCTTCAAAACATTCTAACTAACCCACTGATGTCACATGGACTACTTTGATGATGTCTTTATTTCCTTTCTGGACAAGGACAGTATACCGTACATACATTTTCAATGGAGGGACAGAAAGCTCTCGGACTAAATCTAAAATATCGTAAACTGTGTTCCGAAGATGAACGGAGGTCTTACGGGCTTGGAACGACATGAGGGCGAGTCATTAATGACATAATGTTCATTTTTGGGTGAACTAACGCTTTAAATTCATTGGAATAAATTCAAACAAGATGAGTCATCAATAGGTTTGGTCCTTTTTCCTGCTAGAGAAAACCTCTACATTTTAAATGCATATAGGCTAAAAGTGAAAGTGCCAGCCTTTAGGAGTACACTAGCATATCAATAAACTTCAATTCTGATTTTATATCTCTACTCACAAATGAAAACCCATTAAATAATCCATTCTGTTCCCCATACGATTTGTTTAGTCATCTGACAGTGAAGAGAGAGCGAAATCCATTTTTAAAGAAGGGATTACTTCAGAGCTCTTCAAGAAACGGTTCATAAGTACTGTTCTTTTCCTGACCCCAAACACGTCATATAAACTGCCATGTTCCTTTACTCAGAAACAGTGTCTCAAATCATGCTTTAGTGTTTTGTGGGATGATGTAATAAGCATATATAAAGTATAATCCTCACAGCTGCCGAACTTCAGAGGACAGGAATGGCCATCCATCGGGAAATTGACGAGTTTCATCGGGCATTCTGCACTTATTGTCAATCTGTGGGAAAAAAAAACAAACAGATATAAATGGTTAAAATAGTGAGGGTGAGATATTCACTAAAACCTTTAAAGGTATTTCACCAAGTAGGATATGGAACAAGATTTCTAACAACCATCCAGTCCTGTAGGCCTTAGGGGCCGGGATTGAGGCTTCAACAACATTCATATCAACCTGCTGTTTCCCACAACACCATCTTTTGTTGGTCCTGCAACAACATTTATCCAGGAACACCTCCTACTTGGCAAAATGACGGTCACCCACGAGCAAACACAGCCTGCCAAAGTCTTTTCAGCGTAAATCGGACTCAGGACTGGACATGTGCGTGCGGTACCTCATAGTGTACAGGATGGTGCCGTTCTTCATGATTCGGAAGAGTCTATTGGGCGCAGTCATGTTGTGAGCCACGGATCGTTTGCCATTCCTGAAGAACGTGTCAGGGGTCCAGACTTTGGTCACCATCAGGTTATTTAGACGGAGGATCTCCACCGGGCCCTCATACCTCAACCGCCTATCCACCCACGTCTGGCGGAAGAACACATCCATGGTGTACTCCTGGAAGAAAGCACAAACACAGAGCTGTCAAAACCACACGCAAATCAATCTGACAGAAAGCTTCATTAGAGAGATTCTGTAAAAAGCAAAAAAATACATCATAATGTTGTCTTAGATTCTTAAACAAACACTTCCCCTCATGCTGACAAAACCCTTAAAAACAACATGAAATCTAAATGATCCATATTTACTTTTTAAAGAAGTTAATTCAATTCACATTTATTTGTTTAGTTCACAATACACATCGTTTCAAAGCAGCTTTTAGAGGTAACTGTCTAAGTTATGTATTTCAAAAATGTACATAATACAAATCACACAGTTAGCTAAAAATGTATTAGTTTAAATAATTTGAGGCAGAAACAATGTGCTCTTTGAAGTAATGAATACATGTTTGTTAACAAATTATTATGACATTTAGAATATTTTCTCAAAAAGTCAAAGGTGTCAATATGAACTGAAGCATTTATTATCAAAATCATATTTCCTGAGAAATTCCCCTAGAAACATTAAACCAAAATGAATCCTATTTACTTTTCAAAGAAATCAATTTTGCAGCGTTTTTCATTATTTTCAGCGTTGTTTCAAACTGTGCATGTTATGTATGAAATCAAAAGTCAAAGGTGTCAATATAAAACAATTTCTCATCAAATGCATCCAAGAATTTCATTTCATCCCCTGTAACCCTTAAAAAGAACATGAAATCAAAATGAACCCTATTTACTTTTTTAAAGAAATGTCCTGGTTGTTCTCTACACCATTAATCAGTCAATCTTATTCTACTGAATAACTTTTATTTTCATAATCCTACAATAAAAAACTACCTTTCTACACTTCTGAAGCAGCTTTTTAAAAGCAAAATCAAATCATACTGAAGAAAGTTTGTTTCACTTCACAGAATCTCGGATGTTAAATGTGTTATGAATGTGTTTTTTTGCTGGTTTTAATATTTTAGGTACCAATCTGTGCTGAACACTATATATGGTCACATTTAGCACTGTTATGCTCTTTTGCGAGGTGCAGAACCTCACATTGTTCTCAGGGGAAAATCCCTGCCAAAATTGTTGACTCAGTCACATTTAAAAAAATATATATATTTTGAATCTCTACCACACTGTACTTGATTTACTCTGACTAGGCAGATAACAGCACCTTGCATTGATCTAAATGGCAAGCTGCCTGAATTATTTATTTTAATAATATCTCAGTGGACGGATATGATGCCTTATATAACTCATGCACACATACATGTACACACACAAATCCGACCTGTTCACATATAATCATGAACATCTCCGAGCACTCACCATCTCCACGTCGGAAACTGGGCCAAAACTTGTGACGTAAATATCGGTCTTCACTTCCGTCACTGGACCTGGACAGAAACAGGAATCTTTAGAATCACATTACAATGACCATAAGCCTCTCATGACTAGAAATAGATCTGAAAGAAATGTTTACTTTTTTACAGAATTGATGTGATCTTAATAGTTATTAGTCCTTCTCAGCGTGACCCAGTTATTACGAGTGAAGTAAACGGATTACCTTTGGCTCTCAAAGTCAACATGAATCATTCTCAACCAATTTGACTTATTTGATCAATCAGAAATGCGTTTGATGGTGTAAAGTGTGTGTTTCGTATCAGAATGGAGTCAGAGCTGAATGTGAGAAAATCATTCATTATTTGCTAAAATTGCGGTAACCTTGTTAACCAGCATTAGATAACCACACAGATTATAGAAAGGCTGCATTGCCTACAATATGGTGACCTAAAACAATGTCTAAACAGCTATTTGGCTACTGGTTAACATGACGTAGCAACCCACACAGTCTAAGGGTGTGTTCACACTTGTAGTTCGGTTCTTTTGGTTCAGAAAATTATACATTTAGTCCTGGATCACTAAGCGTTCACATTGCCATTTTTAACACTGAACCTAAATTTTTTTTTTTTTTTTTTTTTAAATCCTATTTTGCAAACTTATCGCACGTCCAAACCAATGCAGTATGCTGGGCTAAATGGGCTCGTTGTATGTGTCTACATATGATGCCATTTTTACCAGCTGAGAACTCACAAAAAGCTTAGAAAATGCGTAAAAGAGTCAAAAGTGCCAGGAATTCCTTTGCACACACAAAAATAAAGATTTGCGGCAAAGAGATGGACAACTGTACTGAACTGTAATGGGCAACAAAGTTCCTATGAGGTGAAAAACCAGATGCCTGAGAATTATCTCCTTTTTATGGTCCAACCTTATGACATCACATCCTGTTTTTGGTGTAAATGTCTCTGTTGCTTTCATATCTCAGTCGAACCACCGAAGTTCATTTGAACCCTGAAAAGAAGCACGGTAAAAAAAATACTACAGTAAAAAACTGTTAATTGGTTAACAGTAAGTTTCCTTATACTGTACGGTGAATAACTGTAATAGATCAAACCTCACGGTGAAATACTGTTAAATTGACCGTTTTTGGAAGTGAAAAAGAACAAGTCATTTTGTAAGTTAAATTTACATTCCCAGAATTCCATGTGTGGCATTTCACATCTGATGTGTTTTCGTTGAAATAACTGTTTCTTCTTAGTTTTTTCTTATCGGTTATGTACTTTGGGGTTTTATGTTACATCTAATGTTGTTAAATTAATGTTTATTGCATTACTTTAGTGTCATGTGTGTTACTGATGGTGTTTTGTGTGTGTGTGAATGACACTGTGCGCCTTTTATATATCAGTATTTACCTACCAAGCTGTAATTCATCCTGTGACTTTCTCATCACCACGTGTTTGGTGGTTGTCAGTGTATTTAAAAAGGTACAAAACAGACAGTACTACTTGGTTGGCATATTATATCAGTAAATTAAATAATATGTTTTTTACTGTAAATTTAAGTTTAATCTGTAAAACCTAAAATGTTGCTACCGTACCACAGCTACCTTTTTTTATTTTTACCGTAAATTTCACAGAATTTTTACAGTGTGGGTCTCGGTTTACTTGTATGGTGTTCACCAAGGCTCAAATGGCAGTGTTCACAATTATTCAAATGAACCGCACTAACAGAGCAATCGACTAGAGTTTGTTTTATTCAAGCCAAACTGCAAAGTGTGAACACAAGTGACCTCAGCCAACAGGAAAGACATTTCCAAGGCATATTAAGCAGATAATGAGACATTTTTTTCTTAAAAATAAAGTACACTTACAAATATTGAATAAAATGACCAGGAATAGGAAAGGATATGGGCTCAGTTTCGATTTCATGTTGATTTCCCTTAGTTTTTTCCAGACTGAAACCATTATTTATTTATCTACTTTAACCAAATTCATGTGGAGACAAAAATTAAAAAAAATAAACCAAAAAATAAAGACGGAAAGTGTGAGTGAAAACAGACTCAGGCACTCAAAGCTCTAAATCACATGATTTATCACTGAATCGTCTCATTGGCTGAACTTGTGAGGGTTGAACTCCTAATGTTCTAGAGGCTCTTTGATAGATGCTTGAGTAAATCACTTGCGAGTGAAGTGCCTTCAGTCAAACACAAGAAAATGGATTATCTGTCATTAAACAGACACTCTGAGCATCTCTCACAGTTGACAACCATGAATCCTACAGAAATATGAAAGACAGGAAGAGTTTTACTCAGCCCAATGCACACACAAATCACAACAGAGATCCCTTTAATATCTCAATTGTTTCTGCAACAGCAATGAGACGAAATAAAGAGTAAATGGAAACTTTTTCTAAGATCTCCTGCTTTCAGATTTTTCCACAGGTCTCCACTAGAGTTTCAGAGGATATCTCAACAATGTCTCAAACTGTGCAGATTCGCAAAAATGCCATTTACAATCAAAAGTCAAATGTCTCAATATAAACTATTTCACAGCAGCGCCATCTTTTAACGGGAATGAAAGCGAGGCTGTGAGGGATAGACATGCACTACATCTCTTCAGTGGGTTGTACTGTTTTTTAATGCGTTTCTGGATTGTTCTGCTGACAAAACACTGCAAAAATATCTTCTGAGAGATTTCAGTAGACAAAAAATCCCAGCCAACATGAGCCGTGTAAAATTATAAGTGATCTAAGAGCTTTATGCAGCTTTTTAAAGCGGGTGCCATTGAAAACACGCTAAGTCTATCCCTCAGAGCCTCGCTTTCATAACCTGGCATGGTGCTGCTCTGTATAAGGTCTACAGTTTTACTGTATGGCAATTTTTGTCTCATTTGTTTCTATTATTATTTATTTAGGAAATCCAGGATAAATGTAAGACACAAAGTTCAAATTGAATTTAGAGAAAACTGAGAACTTCACTATTTTCTTTTTTCCCCCTCAAAATGTTGCTCCAAAGCCTGCATTAACAGAAGGAACATGTTCACACAGGTCATATTATTCAGATGTCAAGCTCTAGAAAGTATTAAAAAAAACACCTTTTCATAAAATAGTCCATATGACTCATGCTCTGTGTTTAAAGTCATCTGAAGCCATAAGACAGCTTGAGTGAAACAGAAACACAAAATTTAGTTTGTCATTTGCATAAAATCAAATACAGAAGACCTGAAATTTAGTGCACAAGTCTTATGGACTATTTTTACGTTGCTTTTTTGTCACAAGCAACATGCATCAAATTTGCTACTTATGTTCCACAGAAAAGATAACAGCATACGTGTAAAATAAAATGACAGAATTGTCATTTTGGGGTGAACAATTACATAACAGGCTGCTTCAGTATATGACGAAAAGTGCATTTCCTCATCGAACAACAATCAAACACATTTCAGACGACAACAACCGGGCCAATGGTAAGAGACGCGCCCGAGCCCTGATATCCATCATCTCTGAAGCACTACATTCTTAGGCAAGGGCAACTCATGCGATCCTACTAGAACTGTGAACCCACAGCACAGATAGCTGAGAGCTGATCAAGCCCCTCCAGCCTGATCCAGCTCCGCTCGAGAGCTCTTGTCATGTGAAGGTGGGTGTGCTGTTCTGTTTGGAGAGATGTGCTCTCTGCCTCTTCACTAAAGTTACATAAAAAACTAGAGCTTCATTCCCAAAGCTCCAATCACATCCCGGCATTACACGCAGAGATCCACAGTCTTTGATTTGATTATTTATTTCTTGGCTAATAAAGAAATTAAACGAGGAAAAGGCGAGAGCGGAAACATGTGCAGCAAGTCTTGATGTTTGTCTTTTTATAGTAACTTTCATCAATAAGTTATTAATCAATAATATGCAATGATTAATACATCACTAGCTATATAGGACTAAATATTTAATTTGCATGCACACTAATTCATGATCTCTAAAGCATTATATAATCTGATCATGCTTTCCATGCTGTTCATGAAGATATAAAGTGTTAAATTTCAGTTAAATCGATCAGAATTTTTTTTAATATACATATATTCCATGCATACACTAAGGGGTTAATTATGAAGTTTCAGGCACAGTGACTGACCGTCGTAATATATGTTGGGCTACTGTACACACAACTAGAGCTACAATACAATTGTTTTCTGCTGACCACTAACTATAACAGCAGCGCACCACTTGGCTTCGCAAAACAGGTTAAAACACTGATGCGCGCGGTTAAATGACAGGAGAGCGCGGGAAATGTTATCGGTTTACGCACACAAAGCGAACATCTGTACTCTACTTAAAATGTGCATTAAGCGGCTTTCTCAGCGCGATTACATAACCAAACTCGCTTAAACATCTAAACGGCACCGATCTAACAGATACATGGAGAGCAGAGAAAGAGAGTGGGCAGCAAAAGGACATTTGGAGTTGGCTTACACCTCCATCTCCCCTCAGAGGACACCAACCCTCACCAAACAAACAACACTTAGTAAACAGCATGCGACCTGCATAAAAAAAACACACAACATTTGGAGAGCATGCTTTGCGCAAGAAGCTTTAAGCACTGCGCGCTTATTCTGGCCACATGATTGTGAAGATTTTTAGAACTAACCCCCAAATCCAGGTCGGAGTCTGTTGTCGTATCCATCCAGGAGTCGGTCCAGAATGCGCGTGAAATTTTCCGGGTATAATTTCTCATCCTTTCTGATCTGTCCAGATATTCTCTTTATGCTAAAAACAACACAGAGCAAACTGAAACATTTTAACATTGCGCACACATTAAATCTACGCCTATTTTCGTATCAATCAACAGCACAAATAGTTCAAAATCGCCCGAGTTTGACGTGTGTAACCTCGAGGCGTAAAGATGCCATGCGTAACGCTCATATCCAGTTGGAACTCACCAAGCCGCCACACAGAGAAAGTAGAGGAGAGTGGAAATAGAAGTGGGGTACATCGCAGTCACCATCTCCTTCTTGGCAGAAACCATGTTTACATGCCATTCTTTAAGCCTTCTTCACATTTCCCTTCGCCAAACGTCCCGAGGAATGATCGAGGAAACGTGCGGCAGCGCGCAATACGCGCTTCACCATCACCCGCAAAGCAGTGCCAGCGAAGCATCCAAATCCAGAACTCGCTCTGCGCCCGATGGATCGCCTAAATCCCAACCCCAAACTCAGTGGTTAAGAGAAGCATATGGTGAGGCATCCTGTAGAATCGTGCGTCTCGCTGTGAGGAGGTTAGAGGAGAGAGAGGGGGACGCGCTGGGTTCCTACACACTCGCATCAGTGCCAAAACTGGGACGCGCGTCCGACGCGCGTCCGACGCGCTCAGAGAAGTCTGCCTGCGAGCGCTTCACTTTGGTGATGTAGTAGTGGCGGCATTGCGCATGAACTCACTTTACGCAGCAATTGTCATGTCCGATCTTGCCCGTGTTAACCGTTGACTTTGGGGGACGGGTGTTAATTGATTTTGGCAACTAAAAGATGTAAATTTGAATTCTGGGGTTCATGGAATATAATTAATCTGTTTGCATTTTACATTAACAGTTCCCACTCTCAGGAAGAAAAAAAAATAGAAAACTTATCTGGGCTTGTAAATACTAGGCCTACAGCTTATTGAAATGGGTCAGTGTTTGTCGCAACGTTACACACATGCTCGCACACGGTCCGAGGTACAGTCACACTGTACAGGAAGTAGGACAAGCCACACGCAGCTCTTAAGATTCCTGTACACCTGGGACAGGACAGTCTTCGGTGTAGCGTGCGCGTGTGCGCGTGCTCGCTGCCTTGGGAAGAACAGGAGCCCGTGTTTGGTTTCTATCCTGGTTGGCTCTTCGATGGCACCCGTGAAAAGAAAAGCTAATTAACTCTTGTCCAATTGTTTTTGATAGCAATCATACCCACCGATCCTTATCAGCACAAGCTGACATACACACTTGCACATGCATAATAACTCCAGTCTGTCACTATCATCACAGCCTATTTAAAGCTTCAGATTTGAACTGATCCTGAATCAGCTGCTGTGTCGTATTTAGTTGGCTATAAAAAGCAAAATCTTATCCTCAATCGGCAGCACTCTTGCTCTGGTTTATCTCGCATGATCTGTGGGCAGCTGGTGGCGTATTCACCGGCCTTATTCACAGGTTGTTCGCGTGAGAAAAAGCTTATAATAAACATAATGAGCTAGAGGTGGCACTCTAGTGTAACATCACCTATGAATATGTGGTAAAATAATGACGATCAAAGAATTCTATTAGCCCTCCGTGTGCTTTTGAGTGAAGAAACCAGCCAAGAGTTTGGAGCTGTACGTGTCACTCTTCATCAAGAGGAGATCAATGTTTAAACACGCTACTCTTTCTAGTTTAATGTTATGCCATAATGCTTTTTTTTCATAGTGATTATGATTTAAAGAGAATGAGGCTTTGGAGGCTTGTCCTAATTTTGATTTAAAATAAGTCAGCACAACCTCCTCTCATAGCATGAAGCAGAGAGTCTGCGCACAACATTAAATCAAACACAGTCGAGTCTAGTCGAATTAAAGACTTTCTAACCACGTCTTATTTTGCATTAGTCATCAGTGCACATTATTCTAAAGATGTATGAATGTTTTCATCATTTTTTATCAAAACATTATCTAAAAGATTTGTCCACTCAGTATACTATTAATATCCAATAAAATCCATTTCATACAACCAAGTCCGAATTTCTTGCATTATGGAATTTGATTTAATTAATTAATGAATAATGTTTAATATTTAAATATAATATTGTTTAAATTTGAATATTGTTACATTTGGTCAACAAATGACATGTGTTTGGGAATCATGTTAGAAAAAAGTAATTATTTAAAGGGTTAGTTCACCCAAAAATGAAAATGATGTCATTAATGACTCACCCTCATGTCGTTCCAAGCCCGTAAGACCTCCGTTCATCTTCGGAACACAGTTTAAGATATTTTAGATTTAGTCCGAGAGCTTTCTGTCCCTCCATTGAAAATGTATGTACGGTATACTGTCCTTGTCCAGAAAGGAAATAAAGACATCATCAAAGTAGTCCATGTGACATCAGTGGGTTAGTTAGAATGTTTTGAAGCATCGAAAATACATTTTGGTCCAAAAATAACAAAAACTAGGACTTTATTCAGCATTGTATTGTCTTCCGGTTCTGTTGTGGATCCGCGTTCAGTGCCGCCGCTGACGTAAGACGCTGCTGACGTGTGTCTGGTGTGTGTGTGTGTGTGTGTGTGTGTGTATTCCGGTTCTGTTGTGGATCCGCGTTCAGTGCCGCTGCTGACGTAAGACGCTGCTGACGTGTGTCTGGTGTGTGTGTGTGTGTGTGTGTGTGTGTGTATTCTGGTTCTGTTGTGGATCCGCGTTCAGTGCCGCTGCTGACGTAAGACGCTGCTGACGTGTGTCTGGTGTGTGTGTGTGTGTGTGTGTGTGTGTATTCCGGTTCTGTTGTGGATCCGCGTTCAGTGCCGCTGCTGACGTAAGACGCTGCTGACGTGTGTCTGGTGTGTGTGTGTGTGTATTCTGGTTCTGTTGTGGATCCGCGTTCAGTGCCGCCGCTGACGTAAGACGCTGCTGACGTGTGTCTGGTGCGTCCGTGTATTCGGGTTCAAATAAATATGGCTGGGCAAAAAAATGCAAGTCTTCCTCTGTGTGGAAATCCTTAGACATGTTTGCGAAGATTGTTTTGTTTCCAGCGTGCGTCTCCCTCAGACTGTAAACGAAGCTCGGGCGCACCAGATAACACGTCAGCAGCGTCTTACGTCAGCGGCGGCACTGAACGCGGATCCACAACAGAACCAGAATACACACACACACACACACACCAGACACACGTCAGCAGCGTCTTACGTCAGCGGCGGCACTGAACGCGGATCCACAACAGAACCAGAATACACACACACACACACACACCAGACACACGTCAGCAGCGTCTTACGTCAGCAGCGGCACTGAACGCGGATCCACAACAGAACCAGAATACACACACACACACACACACACCAGACACACGTCAGCAGCGTCTTACGTCAGCAGCGGCACTGAACGCGGATCCACAACAGAACCAGAATACACACACACACACACACACACACACCAGACACACGTCAGCAGCGTCTTACGTCAGCGGCGGCACTGAACGCGGATCCACAACAGAACCGGAATACACACACACACACACACACACACACACACACACCAGACACACGTCAGCAGCGTCTTACGTCAGCAGCGGCACTGAACGCGGATCCACAACAGAACCGGAATACACACACACACACCAGACACACGTCAGCAGCGTCTTACGTCAGCGGCGGCACTGAACGCGGATCCACAACAGAACCGCAAGACAATACAATGCTGAATAAAGTCGTAGTTTTTGTTATTTTTGGACCAAAATGTATTTTCGATGCTTCAAAACATTCTAACTAACCCACTGATGTCACATGGACTACTTTGATGATGTCTTTATTTAGATAAACGGAGGTCTTATGGGCTTGGAACGACATGAGGGTGAGTCATTAATGACATTTTCGGGTGAACTAACCCTTTAATTTAGTGCCGGAGAGTAGATGTATAGAAATGAAATCCTATACCTTTTAAAAAAAATGTTGAAGTGTGTATTTGTGTTAAAATATAATTGGACATTTTAAACCTTTTGCTGGCCATTCAAATTAATTCATCAAACTGTACAACTTCCCTGTAAAACCAATTAAGCTAATGAATGTCGATGTACAGGTCAAATACAATTGACAGATTCATTTGTTTCTAATTTGCTAGCGGATTCATTTTATGTATTTTTTTTTAACTTGACACTGCTTCATATATATATATATATATATGACAGAAAACTTTATAAAAAAACTGAGAAACTTAAGAGAGATAAAAACAACAACAACAAATAAGCAGAACTATCACAGTGTAGCTATAAATAAACGGTGAGGATATTATAGAATTTTCACTTTTTTTCCACAGTTGACATCACATCCTGTGTCAAGTGGTTTGATTTGTTTCAATTTTGGCAATTTAATCGATGTGCATTAACAACACTCAGGAACATGTGAGGGAACGGCGTGTAAAGGTGTTTAGAAGAGCTGGAAAAAAGAGAGAGAGAGGCCGAGAGAGGAGAGGGCCCTTTTACTGCATGTTTTCCAAGCTCTTATGGAAGGACTGGCAAATGAAACTAATGACTCAGAACTGTGACTCAAACTGTCTGGTAATCAAATCCTATCCACAGAAAAGCACTTGACATGAGCAAACATACGCAAGCAGATGAAAACACACACAAAACATGCCACATTTTCTTGTGATCACCATTGCCCCTGACAAATCCCTGTATTATTGTGCTGAAAAAAGCCCATCCGCTGCCCACAATCGTTCTCCCACACTACACGAAATCTCTAACAGCCACGCTCCAGCGTTTCAGAGCTTCACAGCTGTCCTGCTCACATTTCAGATATCCTATCGCACCCTCCGTTCTCATTTGTCCGCTTCCGTCACCGTGTTATCGGTTTGTCCAGCTCCTTTTGTAAGATCCATGGCTGTTGGCAGACACTTTCTTAAAGCCACTTTGTGTGTTAATGTGTTTTATTGCAGTGGTTCTCAACTGGTGGGTTGACCCAAAAACAAACAACTGGTTTGTAATGATAAAGTCGTTGAGAGAAGGGTAAAAACAATGCTAAATGCAACTAGCCAAATAAGCATGCATAGTAAGGTTCAACGAGATACATGGATAAAGCTGTCCGTAAACATTCCCAGTCATATGAACGGAGCTGTTCACGGGCCCTCAGTTCTCCAGGTGGTTTCTGAGCCAATCACCTGAGGCAGAAATGTGATTATTCACTCTGGAGACAGAAGAAAATGACATCATGACAGCGTGGATTGACTGATGGCACCACAAGAACACCAAGACATTCACTGGCGACTATCCTATGACATCGTAAAAACAGCAGACAGTGAGAAAAATATAAACCTATTCAGCCCATTCTCATCCCTAGGCGTCATGAAACTGACGCCTTGGGAATCATTTTGACCATGCTTCAATATTCGACGCTTTAGGCACCCTTTAGCGTCAGTTACATGACGCGATCCTAGGGCGTCATCTTACTGACGCTTTACCTTTGACGTCAGTTAGATGACGCTATCTAATCCTAACCCTACCCCAGACCTAAACCTACCCGCGTCATCTAACTGACGCTAAAGGGTGCCTAAAGCGTCGAATATTGAAGCATGGTCAAAATTGTCATTTTAGTGACGCCTTGGGATGAGAATGCGTTGACCTATTTCACACTTTTAAGAGCCT